CTCTGCAAGTTTTTTTTAATTGTATTGTTTTGTTGTTGTTGAGCTGTCTGAGCTCTTTATATATTTTGGATATTAACCCTTATTGGAGGTGGTGTTTGCAAACATCTTCTCTCATTCGTTTGGTTGCCTTTGTGTTTAGTTGACAGTTTCTTCACTGGATTTTAGCCAAAAGGATGAGAAGCGATGGGCAGTCTCTTTTGCTGTGCAGAAGCTTTTAGTTTGATACAGTCGCGTTCATTTATTTTTGTTTTGCTTCCCTTGCTTTTGAGGTCCAATTTATAAAATCTTCTCCAAGATCAAGGTCCATAAGCTTTTAGTACCTGCCAACATGGTGTTTGTGACTGCTATTATTTTCATTAACAAACAAATGCTACACTAAGCATTCCTGGCCATGTCTCCTTGGCACATACAGGGCAGCTCCTCTATTCACACCTGGAGTCAGGATTGCTGGGTGGCAGGAGATGAGCATCCTCAGTGCTACAGATCCACAAAGTGGTTACACCGATTCATAATCCCACCTGGTCACAGCGCACTCACACTCACCTTCACGTGGCACCATCAGACTCCTTCTTTTGCCCTCAAGAATGTAGTGAAGGGATATTTCACTATTAAACTCTTGGTTCCCTAATTCCTAAGAAAATAGATAATTTTTTTTTCAAAGCAGATTTAAAAAAATATATATCTTATTGATTTTATACAGAAAGGAAGGGAGAGAAATAGAGAGTTAGAAACATCGATGAGAGTCATCACTCAGCTGCCTCTTGCACACCCCCTACTGGGGATATGCCCTCAACCGGAATCGAACCCGGGACCCTTCAGTCCCCAAGCCGACGCTCTATCCATTGAGCCAAACCGGTCCCGGGTATTTTTGTATTTTTATTGGCCATTTGGGTTTCCTATTCCGTGACTTGTCGGTTCATATGTTTTATCCGATTTTTATTGGGTAATTTTTCATATCCTTTGTGGGTAATAGGCTTGAAAATATCTTATCCCAGGTTGTGGTTTGGTTTTTAACATTCTTTATAGTGTCTTCAGTTATACAGAAGTTTGTTTGCTTTATGTAGTCAATCTCCACAATCATTTATTCTTTCTTGTGGTTAAGAAATTATTCTAGCCCGGATTGTGTGATTCAGTGATTGAGCATCGACCTATGAACCAGGAGGTCACAGTTTGATTCCTGATCAGGGCATATGCCTGGGTTTCGGGCTTGATCCCAGTTTGGGATGTGCAGGAGGCAGCCGATTGATGGCTCATCATTGATGTTTATCTCTCTCTCTCCCTCTAACTTTCTCTCTGAAATCAATAAAAACATTTTTTAAAAAGAAATCATTTTCTACTCTCATAAAGATATCTTTCTTTCTATTTTTTCTTTGTAAAAATGTTTGCATTTACCTGGATTAAAACTACATTGGAGCTATTTTCATGTTTGTTTATTTACCATAGGGACAGGCAATTGTCCAGCATCTCTTCTTCTTCTTCTTCTTCTTCTTCTTCTTCTTCTTCTTCTTCTTCTTCTTCTTCTTCTTCTTCTTCTTCTTCTTCTTTAGAGCAGATTATGGGATTTTATTTATTTATTCATTTATTTATTTATTTCTTCTTTTTAAAAAAAATATATTTAATTGACTTTTTACAGAGAGGAAGGGAGAGGATAGAGAGTTAGAAACATTGATGAGAGAGAAACATTCATCAGCTGCCTCCTGCACATCTCCACCTGGGGATGTGCCTGCAACCAAGATGCATGCCCTTGACGGGAATCGAACCTGGGACCTTTCAGTCCGCAGGCCGACGCTCTATCCACTGAGCCAAAACGGATATGGCCAGCTTCTCTTCTTGATGAGTCCATCCCGCCCCACTGACGTGTAGAACATCCTTTCATGGAGCAAGTCCCCGGTGGACATGGGTTTATTGCTGGGCCCTGTATTCTGTTCCATTTTTCTGCTTGTCAGACCCCTTGAAGTTATTGACGCATTGCTTTAATTTCTAGTCTTATTGGACTAGGAAGCCTTAATTTACGGCAGCGCAGGTACCGTCCTTATACATTTTCAAAGTTGTCTTGGCTTTTCATGGGCCTTTAAGGTTCCGCAGAAATGCTTGGACCAGTCCATTTAACAAAATGCTGTAAGGATTATAATTGCAATAATATCACGGGCATTTCAAACATAGATTATTAAGAGGTTCAGAAGTTCTTCCAGAGCTCTTTCTTAAATAGCATTTATTGTCAGGAGCAGCACAGCTTACAGATGAAGAAGGAAGGGTTTCTCCACACCCTCAATAGCCTCGAACCGGCCCTGCTATTCTGTCAGTGTCATCGCCCTTCCCATCGCCACTGCCCAAGTCCTGAGTCATCATTACAGTCTTCTCCCTTCACTTACTTTGTCTAGACATTTCTTGACCAGTTTGCCTCCTCTGTCTTTGGATTTCCTGTGTTTTCCAACCTTCCCTTTCTTTCGCTGACATTGCTCTGACTCACACTCTTGTCCCTCATACATCGTATACCCCTGCTTCCCAAGGCTCTCCTTCCTGGACGTCTGTTCTGATTACTGATTAACGGTCCGGAAGCATACCCAGCCCTCCCAGGCTCAGAGCCCTCACCAGGCCCCTCTGTCTGCAGGCCAAAGTACAGCTCTTCTGCCCAGCGACAGTCACTGGCCCCACCTTACCTGCCCAGCCTCTCAGCTGTCCCCTGCTTCCCCACTAGCACCCTGGAGTCCTGCCAGCTGCAGCTCCTCGGTCTGGGGCGCCTGCCTGCCCCCGTCTCCTCCCCACCCCAGCAGTGCCCTCCGCTGCTCACCACTCTCCTACTGCGGGCACAGGCAGCCCCTCAGACTACCGGCCCAGAATGGCTTTGAACATCCTTGGTGCTTCTGTCTGCACACGCGGCAGCCCCGCGGGGTGAGACTCACTCTCACAGTGTAAGGAGGGTTTCTCCAGCTCAGCGCTACGGAGCCTTTGGCCAAGGTAGTTCCTCGCTGCGGGAGGGTTTCCTTTGTTTCCAGGCCAGGATTCCTGGTCTCTGGGTGCCAAGTACACCCTCTAGTGGTGACACTTGAAACTGCCTCCAGTCGTTGCCAGAAGTCCCCCGGGGGACAAAACTGACTCTGGCTGACAACGCTGGTGTAAGTAAGGGGAGACTGGTGTGCCAGCTGCACCGTGAGCAACAGGTCCCTGGAGCGAGATAGCAGCTGCCTGCCGGCACGAACCACAGAGCAGCTAAGGGGTCTCCCGGATACTCTCTGGCAGTTGGCATTCACTGTGGTTCAGAGCACGTGCAACAAGTTGCCCAAGTACATGCCCCGGTGGCCTCCTGACGCACACTGACCACATCCTGCTGTGCAGAAAGAGTCTGCTCCTTGCCCTGACTGGTTTGGCTCAGTGGATAGAGCGTCGGCCTGCGGACTGTCAAGGGCATGTACCTTGGTCGCAGGCACATCACCAGTGTGGGGTGTGCAGGAGGCAACTGATCAATGTTTCTCTCTCATCAATGTTTCTGACTCTCTATCCCTCTCCCTTCCTCTCTGTAAAAAAAGCAATAATATATATATATATATATATATATATATATATATATATATATATATATATATGAGAGAGAGAGAGAGAGGGAGAGAGAGAGAGAGTCTGCTCCTTGAGGGGACATCAGGAAGGAGGCTGGGTACCATAGAGACACAGCTCCCATTCGCCAGTGTCTAAAAGGCTGTTAAGGGGAGCATTTGAGATCTAGTACCCAGCATATGTTGTCAGCTTGGCTCAAATAAACTCACAAAAATTAACAAAATGAGATAAAATAAGATCACGCAGCAGGAAAACAAAATAAGATGTGGGGGAGCCACGCTTTGCTAAGAAGATGCTGGGGCCATGAGATGGGCAGGCTCCGTGCGTCCAGGGAGCACACTGAGTTCCATCCTCAGCCTTTCACTTTCAAAAGCAATTCAGTAATAGCAACCTAGTTGGCTGGCACCGTCAGAATACAGGTTCATCTAAGTGTGTTTAAAAAAAAATGTTTTCATTGACTTTAGAGAGAGAGAAACATCAATAATGTGAGAGAATCATTGATTATCTGCCTCCTGCATGCCCCCTACTGGGGAGCGAGCCTAAAACCCAGGCATGTGCCTTGACTGGGAGTCAAACCATAACTTCCTGGTTCATGGGTCAACACTCAACCACTGAGCCACACCAGCCTGGCTCAGCTAAGTTTTAAGAACATTGTTCAGAACTGAGGCCTGCTGTACAAAGACTCGTGCAAGCATAGGCCTTCCTCCCCCTGGCTTCGCGCCCAGCTGCCAGGGAGCCTGCAAGTCTGGAGGGATGGTCCATCTGCACATTTCTCTTTTATTCGTATAGATAACCACTCCTCTCATAGGATATAGGCCCTTCCTCAAGAAGGCTGTTGTGTACGCCCCAGGGGACTCTGTGGGGCTTGGGTCATTTCGGCACCCTCCTGAGTCCCTGGACGGCCCAGCGGTCTGCAAAATGCTCTAGGCCAGTGGTCGGCAAACTCAGGAATCGGCAGAGCCAAATGTCAATGTCAGTGCAACGATTGACATTTCTTTGGAGAGCCGAATTTTTTAAACCTACACTTCTTCTAGCGCCACTTCTTCAAAATAGACTCGCCCAGGCCGTGGTATTTTGTAGAAGAGCCACACTCAAGGGGCCAACGAGGTGCATGTGGCTTGCGAGCCGCAGTTTGCCGACCACCGCTCTCGGCTGCTGCCCCAATGTGAATGAGCCCTGGGGCCAGGACAAGTGGGAGGCCCAACATGCAGGCTTGTCTCCGGGGCTAGGCTGCCAGGCCCCGCATTGGCCTATGGGCTCCTCGAGGGGTTGTTCTCTAAGGTGTCAGCCATGACAGACAGACACTGGGCCAGCAGCCATCCTCCCCGCCCCCAGGCTGGCAGTGGAGGGCCCCTTCCCCTCTCTTCCTCTCAGCTGCCCTGACTTACCGCCCGCCCGGGATGCTCATATCCTCCTTTATCGCCCCCTGGGGAGGGCCCCTGACTCACCCCTCAGAAGCTGGGCCGCAGTGGGAGGGTGGGAGAAGCAGGCAGCGGGGATGCTGTAGTTGGTCTGCAGGATTTCCAGAAGATCCGCCGTGTACCTGGAGAGACACCAGCCTGCGTTCGGATATGAGGACTCGTGGGGAGGAGAGGGGACCAGAGGGACACCAGTTACCTGCCCCCCTCAGGCATCTCTGGTGCAGGGAGCCTGTCCACGTTCCCTCCAGGACCTGATTCTGGAGGGGATGGAGCATGGGCCCGGCCTAGGGTGGAAGGCAGCCTGCGTTTTGGTTAGCCCACGGACAGGCTGGCTGAGGCATCCAAAGAGCCCACCGTCCATTCCCTCCCTCCGCTGGGGGCAGCGGCCCAGGGGCTGGCGAGGGAGAAAGAAAGAGTGGACCCTGAGCACCGGGGTTGGGTTCCCCAGCTCTGTGCATGCCCCCCCTCGCCCCGCTCCCACCCTGGGGATTTCCTCTCCTCGAATGGGGAGAGAAAGCCCAGACTTTGAAGGGTCGTGCACTGGCCCAACCCCACAGGGTCCTCAGGGACAGCCAGACCATTATCAGTCCTTCTCATTCTGTCTCACTCTGTTTGCTGGGAGCCAAAGGGTCCTGGGATGGAAGTAGGGACAGGCCAGAGAGAGAGAGAGAGAGAGAGAGAGAGAGAGGCCACATGCTGCTTGGCAACCGGCTCCTGGCTCAGGGCCTGCTGTCCTCACTCACCTGGGGTCAAGCTTTATCTGAGTCCTGTCTGGCTCCATTATCTCCTCTCTCTTGCCGGCGCGGCTCCCGGCTCTTGGCAGGTGCTGAAAGGCCAGGAAGGGCAGGCCGGCGGGGGCCCTGAGGTAGACGGCTCCCGGTCCTGCTGACTGCCAGCCTTTCCCCAAAGAACTGGTAGGAAGAGCGGCTGGGTCTTCCCTCTGGCTCTCTCCCTCCTCCGGCCTCCTTGCCCACAGTTCCTATCTCAGAGTTCATCAGAGGAATTTGAAGTTTGATCCTCTCAGCTGGCTGAGTTCCCAGGTTCCTGACTCCTCCCTGTCCCCTAGGTGTGGTCTCTCCTGCCTCCTTCCCATAAATACCTTTAGTCATCCTTTGGCCCTGGCCCCTCCTGTCCTACATTCCCCATGTCCCCCCAAGAGCCTTCTAGGGTCGTGGTGGTGATGGTGGTGATGGTGGTGCTGCTGTGGTGGTGGTGGTGGTGGTGGTGCTGGTGGTGGTGGTAGGGACAAAGATCTCAATGCCCCCTGGTCAACAACTACTGCTCCCCAAGAAGCTGGCTGGAACGCAGGCTCTGGGCCCTGGGGGTGGGAGAATCAGGGCTGAGGCCTTGACTGTGTTGGTTATGGGGGCACATATGGAAGGAAGGCCGAGTTGGAAAAGCCAGACAAGGCCCCTGTGACTTTCCCAAAGCCCAGCCCACCGCATCTTGCTGATGGGTTTGTCCAGCCAAATAGCAGCAGAAGATGCAGCAAACAGGAGGGGAGGCTGTGTTAAAAAGGCAGGATTGTGAGATTTGCAAGCAGATGGACGGAATTTTAAAAAACTGTCCAATTGCTTATGAACTGTTTTATTGATTGGCGATTTTTCTTCTCTCTCCAAATATAATAGTTGTAAACCTATCTGAGGCCTCGCACAGCGCCCGGAGGTGCCTGGAATAGGGCCTGACACACACCCAGGGCTCCTTAGAAGTGGTTGCCTGGCTGACAGCATCAAATCACAGCAACGGCAGCAGCTCAGGTCTACGGGGCACATCAGCTGCACCCAGGGCTGCAGGAAATGCGGTATGTTCCTCGTCTCATTTAAGCCTGCAACCTCCCTTTAAAGGTAAGTGGTCTCTTTATTCCCGTGTTACAAATGACACCTGGCTGAGCAGAAAGCCACGGTGGCCTGGAGGGAGGCAGAAAGGACCTGGCTCCGGGCTGCTGAGGTTCGGTGAAGACCTTTGGCAGTAAGAGGGCACCAACGAGGGGGCAGAGGAGGCTCCCTGATCTGGGCTGATGAGCAGACAATCCGAGGAATCAGTTCCTGATGCGGTACCAGAACTCCCTACTCTTGTCTCAAAACACCTCAAAATAGCTTCCTGAGTTCTCTCTCTCTTTTACTTTCTACAAATACAGCTGGTTCTCCGGCAGGACCATGTAGGGACCCAGGAATCTCAAGGGCTCAGTTCCCTCCTAAGGTGGAGGTTTGGGTACAACCGGAAGACGGGGGCATTGACCTCCAGAGGCTCAATTGCCGGCCCGCCCGGCCAAAGACACCGGTTGACTCAGCTTCCTCAAACCGTTTCCCCAGGAGTGAATGCTCCCTGGGCCATTCACCTCCAGCGCAGTGAGAGGCCTTGGCAGTGAGAGGCCTTGAGCTTAATTGCCCAAAGCCCTGAACTTTAGATTTCCCCAGAGCAGATCGTTCTCCACACTTCCTCAGGACAGAACCAGGAGGGGTGGGGGCGGGTAGGAGAGGGTGTTGAAGGGCTGGCGGGCGTTGGGAAGGGAAGTAGCTGGGCTGGCATTCAGGCTTCCAGAGCCTGGCAGCTGGGAGGTCCAGGGGAGGCTGGGTGATTCTCAGGATGGATGACGTGGAGGGAGGAGCAGGAGGGTGTGGGTGAGAGGGATGGCTTTAGCTCTGACCTGTGGCCATCTTCCATACAGTGTGATCCGTGGATTAGTCCAGGGCCGTGCCCTGACTCAAGGCCACTCCATCCATAGCTGAGGCGTGGCAAGAGAAGATGAGCTGAACCAGCCAGTCAGATTCTTCTCTTGGTGATTCTAGACTTTGGTCAAACACTAATCCTTCCCCCCACCCCTCACACACACACACACTCCGCCATTCACAGTGCTGACCAGGCAAAGGGCCTGGGGTGAGGTATATATGGGTGATTCACTGTGCCTCCTCTTTCTGAACAGGCCGTGTAAGAACACAGCCTGTGGCTAAGCACTGGCAGGTCTCAACACTGATTTTTAGAACCAAGAAAATCAAGTCATTTTTCTTTTTCTTTCTTTTCTTTGTGGTTTTGTTTGTTTGTTTGTGGGTTTTTTTTGTTTTGTTTTTTGCTTAATTTTCCCCACAAAATTGTATGGTCACATGATGGGACACCTATTTCATCTCATGGCACACATAAACTAATTATCAAATTCTGCAGCACACCCAAAAATGTATTTTTTTGGTGATCTGACAAAAATAGGTATAATTTTGGTTCATTCACACTGGGCAGCTATTGTTGTGCTGGCTGTTGTCATTTTTTTTCATTTGACAATCTAAGGGAAAAGAAATCAGGGCTCCTGACTGTTAGGTAGTGCATGTTTTAAAAATTCTTGTAGCACCCTGGTTGAAAATCACTGGTATAATGTTGTTAGATTTTGCCAAATGCCTTCTCTGGAAGAAAATTGTGTTGGCCCTGGCTGGTTTGGCTCAGTGGATAGAGTGGCAGCCTGCAGACTGAAGGGTCCCAGGTTCGGTTCCGGTCAAGGGTATATACCTTGGTTGTAGGCACATCCCCGGTGGGAGGTGTATGGGAGGCAGCTGGTCGATGTTTCTCTCTCATCGACGTTTCTAGCTCTCTATCTCTCTCCCTTCCTCTCTGTAAAAAATCAATAAAATATATTTTTTTAAAAACAAAAAACATTAAAGGCATGTCTTCTCTTAACCTGAAAATGGAAAGCCTCCATGTGAGTAGAACAACCTGATACATATATTTATCAGAATAACATTTTATTTGAAGGTTGGAAATATTTTATTTCCAGAAGTCAAGGGAAAGGCCTTGAGAAAACTAGAATTTGCTACATAGGAGAAATAGCAATGTATGCACCAAAGTTAAATTATGTTAGAAGTCAAAGAATAAAACTTGGATAGTTTCTCTTTGCTAAAATCAGAGAAATACTTTTTGACTGTACCTATATCTGTAAAAGTTGGGATATTTGGTAGCATTCTATGTACGTGTCTTTGTAACATCTTTAATGCCAGGACATTATGAGAGCTGTGACCTATATTTTAATCTAATTTTGATGTGTATTATTATTAATCTGTATGTGTTTTTTTTTTTAACTTTAGGATCTATCTTTGCAAAAATAAAATACCCCATGAATTTTTAAACAGGGCTTTAACATAGTATCATTTATGGGTATCTTATGTTCTGAATAAATAGAAGTGACTGGTTATCAGTAAAAAAAAAAAATGCTTCTGTCATGAAAATATAATAACTGTGTGTTGATGAGGGCTTTTTGCTCTTTGTATTTAATCAAATTAATTCTCCCAAAATGTCCCAGTTCATTTAGTCCAATTCAAAACAGGAGTCTTGGAATTATAAATTTTATCCATGTTCAAGAATAATATAATCTCTGCTGAGCGACATTAAAGCGACATTCACAACGGCCTCTGCACGTCTGCATTTAGGAGCTCTGACTCGTGCAGCTGCCGTCTCTCAGCAGGCTCCGCGGTAGCCGTCCTGAGGCTAACGGGGGCTCCGGGTCCCAGCCTGCGTGCTGGCTGCGAGAGAGGCTTTGGATGTGTGTCTGGCATTTCCAGCTCCGACTGGGACACGGAAACGGCCTTTGTCCTGCACCAAGACTTGCAGTGCAGGGAGTCCTCCAAACACTCAGGAACTCAGGTGCTCGGTGGCTAACACAATGCCCAGTGTCAGCTGCAGGAAACAGAAAACCCGGTTCCTTTCCTCGCATAACAGGCAGCTCCGATGTGGGCAGTTCGAGGCCGGGGCAGCGATCCCACCTCGCCACCACTGGCGTTCTGTCTGGGCAGCATGTTGGCTGATTGCCTAACAGGTCCAGGGCGGCACCTCAGGGGCCAGCCAGCAGGTCTAGGCTCAAGACAGGAAGAGAGGGACAGAGGGGTGCCAACCGCGTCCTTCCCCGTGTGCCGGGAAGGCAAAAGCTTTTCTAGAAGCTCAGCAGACACCCCCCGACGCCTCCCGGCCAGAATGGTGCATGAAGCCAACCCTGGAAATGAGGGAAGCTGGAAAACTATTTAACTGCCTTGCCCCCCGCGCCCCCCCCCCAAAGTGGAATTTTATAATAAACCCAAAAAAAAGGGAAAGAGCGCTGAAACCGGTTTGGCTCAGTGGATAGAGCGTCGGCCTGGGGACTGAAAGGTCCCGGGTTCGATTCCGGTCAAGGGCATGTACCTTGGTTGCGAGCACATCCCCAGTAGGGGTGTGCAGGAGGCAGCTGATGGATGATTCATCGATATTTCTAACTCTCTATCCCTCTCTCTTCCTCTCTGTAAAAAGTCAATAAAATATATTTTAAAAAAAAAGGGGGGGGGGTAGGGCAAAACAGAGTGAGCACCAAGCACTGCTTCAATTAGCGCCAAAGCTAAAGGGTGGTGAGAATCACCCGCCTTCGCCTCAAGTGTTTCTCTGCCCTCACGCTGTCTCGGCGCGAACCCCCTCACAGGCAGGACCTGGGTCCCCAGCACGCGCGGGAGAGGGCCGGCTTGCTGTTGGCGGTGAGGGTCGCAGGCCGTGGCAGTTCTGCCGCAGAACCCCGGCCCCCACCCCCTCGGCCTCTGTGATGTCACACTGGGACTCTCTCCCCTGCACCGGAGCTGTGGCTTCCCAGGTGGCGGGGGCCATGGGGCGCCTGGAGCCAGCAGGGGCGGGGGAGCCCGGTGGCTCTGATCTCCCCTGGGGGCGCGGGAGGCCCGGCCAGGCCGCTCAGGACCCATGCCATTCCCCTGGTGAAGGAGCCGCAGGCCCGGCCCCAGCGCAGGCCCCGCTGCCCTGGGTGCCCCCCAGCCTGTTCGCCGCCTTCATCGTGGTGCTGCTGCTGGTGCTCAGCGGCCTCTTCTTCGCCTTCCCGTGAGCCTGGCAGGTTCCTTACCGGAGAGGAGGGAGAGGACGGCACAGAGGCGGGGGGAGAGCCGGAGAGAGAAGGGAGAGGATGGCACAGAGGCGGGGGGAGAGCCAGAGAGAGAAGGGAGAGGATGGCACAGAGGCGGGGGGAGAGCCGGAGAGAGAAGGGAGAGGATGGCACAGAGGCGGGGGAAGAGCCGGAGAGAGAAGGGAGAGGACGGCACAGAGGCGGGGGGAGAGCCGGAGAGAGAAGGGAGAGGATGGCACAGAGGCGGGGGGAGAGCAGGAGAGAGAAGCGAGAGGATGGCACAGAGGCTTGGGAAGAGCTGGAGAGAGAAGGGAGAGGACAGCACAGAGGCAGGGGGAGAGCAGGAGAGAGAAGGGAGAGGATGGCACAGAGGCGGGGGGAGAGCCAGAGAGAGAAGGGAGAGGATGGCACAGAGGTGGGGGGAGAGCAGGAGGGGGCCCGGGGAGGGAGGGTGGTCTGGGCAGAGGAAGCCAATGTGCAGAGGCACAGGCGGAGAGGGTGTTGGGTGTGTGGGGGCTGCAGGGGGCTGGCAGGCCTGGGGGCGGCTGGTGGAGCCTCTGTGGACCTGCCAGAAGCCCGTCTATTCGGAGCAGGCTGTGAGGTCACTGGTGCCCGCAGGCAGCTGGACTCAGCCCCGCTCCCGCCTCAGTTGCAGGTGGCTGGCCCAGAACGGGGAGTGGGCCTTTCCCATCATCACGGGGCCCCTCTTTGTCCTCACCTTCGTCAGCCTCGTGTCACTCAACTTCTCAAACCCGGGCATCTTACACCAAGGTGAGGCCTGGGCCCCGGAGAAGGAGGCGGCCCCGCAGGGCTCCTGTGTATCAGGGAGGGTCCCTCGCGGGTCCCGGCCTTTCTCCCGCTGCGGCCTCTGCGCCCTTCACCCTGAGCCCTCGTTGCTTGGGCCCTGCTCCTGGCACTTCGCTCCCCAAGGGGAGGAAAGCCGGGATTCTGGAGGCTTCCCAGTGCCTTGGAGGGGTGGGCCGGGCCAGGCGGGCAGAGGAGCCAGCTCTTCCCGCTCTCCCTCCCTCCTTGCCGCCGAACAAAAGCCTTAAAGCGCCAGTCACGGTTCCAAAGGCCCGAGTTCTTGCAGAATTCCCCTGGGGAAAACCGTCTTTCCCTTTGACTGCCAGCCTCAGTGTGCTCTGCGGGGACGAGGGTTCCCCCTGCCCGCTTCCTCCCCTCCGTTCCGGGGCCCAGCAATGCGGCGGGACCCCCACCAGCCACAGCCCGGTGGGCGGGCCCCGGTGCTGCCCACCCCTCTCCCCGCGCCAGGCTCCAACGAGCAGGGCCCCACGGCGGTGCACGTCATCTCCGTGAACCGCAAGGCCTTCCGCCTGCAGTGGTGCCAGAGGTGCTGCTTCCACCGCCCGCCCCGCACCCACCACTGCGGCTTCTGCAACGTCTGCGTGGAGGTGAGGCCCCTGCGCCGGCCCCGCCCACCCCCGGCCCCCGCCGGCCCCCGCGGACCAGGAGGCTCCCCCTGCAGGGCCAGGGGCAGCTGTGAGACAACTTCAGGGCTGCGAAGGCCGAAGGTGGCAGTGACCCCCGGCCACTCTTTTTTACCTTTTTATAAAAAAAATATACACTTTATTGATTTTTTTTGCAGAGAGGAAGGGAGAGGAGAGAGACAGAGAGCTAGAAACATCCATGAGAGAGAGACATCGACCAGCTGCCTCCTGCACACCCCACACCAGGGATGTGTCTGCAACCAATGTACGTGCCCTTGACCGGAATCGAACCCGGGACCTTTCAGACCCCAGACCGACGCCCCCCGCCACTCTTGGTCACTCATGCAGTCCCCGCCTCGGTGCCTGTGCCTGCGCTGGTCCTGAGGGGCTGGCGCTTGCCTGCACAGGAGCTGACACTCAGGGCCGTCCGTCCACATCTCTGCCGGCCGGCCGGGCAGGCCGGGAGGAAGGGCAGCCCAGCCTATGCCACCCCCCCACCCCCGGCTCCTGCCCTGGGCGTGCTGACAGCAGGTACCCAAGGCCCTCACACTCACACTGGCCCACACCCTGAGCTGAGGGCTTGTCTTTCCCACACGCACAGCCCTCAGAGGCTCACACACGTGCTGCCTCCTGTGGTCCTGCCGGCCGCCCGGCTCTCAGCCTCGTCCCCTGGGTGAGAAAGCAGGGCCCGAGAGGCTCTGGGTCCTGCCTGGAGTTGCCAGCATGAGTTCCACCCGAGACCAGGCAGGCTTTGCTTCCCACGGCCTCCTGACAGGCCCCGGGCGAGCCGCAGCGCCCTCACCAACCCCGGAAAGGCCGGCGAGGGCCGCGGTGGCTGCCTCGGGGACAGGGGAGAAGGCAGTGCCTGGGCCCAGGGCCATGGCGGAGGGCGGGCGGGAAGGGAAGGCTTCCGAGGCAGGGCCCACGGGGAGGACGCGGGGCCAGACCTCCCAGAGGTGAGACCTCGAGGCCGGCCCCTCCCCCGCCCCGCCCAGGACTTTGACCATCACTGCCAGTGGGTCAACAACTGCATCGGCCACCGCAACTTCCGCCGCTTTCTGCTGCTTGTGCTGTCCTTCTGCCTCTACTCCGGCGCCGTGCTGGTCACCTGCCTCATCTTCTTGCTGCGTCCGAGCCAAGAGACCGCTTACATAGACCGGGTCATGGCGTATCCGCCTGGCAGCTGAGCCCACAGGGAGGCCCAGGGAGCGCGGGGACAGCCCGAGGGGTGGAGGGGGTTAGAGGTTAGAGAGAGAAGCTGTGGGGGAAGACCAGTCTGGGACCAAGTGGCGGGGGTGGGCCGGGGAGATGGGCGGGCTGAGGAGCTGCAGGGCCCGGATGGGGCAGCTAGGACGGGGCAGCTGAAGGTGGCCCAGGGGTCGGGGCAGGTTTAGTGGCTGCAGCGCAGGGAGCAGGTGGCTGAGTGGCTGTGGGCGGGCTGATTGGGCGGAGAGGGGCCAGGGGCAGGCCCGGGAGGATGGGAGGACGCCTGCAGCTCTGCTCCTTAGCCGGTGCCCAGCATCCTGGTGGCCGTGCCCGCCGCCGGCTTCCTGGCACCGCTGTGCCTGCTGCTGCTGATCCTGGCCATGTCCGTGAGCGCGGCCGAGCGCTCCTGCGAGGGCAAGGTAGGCGGGCCGCGGGGGTCACCCTGCCTCTGGGCACCGCCCCTCTCCTTCTCCACTGCCCTGGGCACTGGCGGCCTGGCTGCCCTCGAGGACGCCTCGTTAGCCCTTCCAGACCCAGCGTGAGCTCAGATCTCCCCTGGGTGGTCACTCTCCCTCCAGCGTGCACCGCTAGTGCCTACTGTGTGCCCCTGGCGCCTACTGTGTGCCGGGCCGCGGGTACGTTCTTTGGGCGGGAGGCGCACAGGGAGTCAGGCTGTATCTGGCGCTTATGCTGAAATCAGAGTAACGCCTGCCAGACGCCTGTGACCACGCTGAGGGCCTGTCCCGGAGTGGGTAGCAGACTCAGAGGCCACCGTGGTGCGGGGAGGAGCACCCCTCGGTGGATTTGATGGGCAGAAGACAGGGGAGCGCATTGCTGGTGAGGGACCAGCTGGCAAAAAGGCAGGGGAGCCTGACGGTGGCCGGGATGAGGACAGGATGGTGAAGAAATTGCCTTTTGTTTTATTTGATTATGTTTTTATTGATTTCACAGAGAGAAAGGAGGAGAGAGAGAAACATCAATGATGAGAGAGAATCATGGATGGGCTGCCTCCTGCACACCAACCCTAGTATGTGCCTTGATCCTGAATTGAACTCCAACCTCCTGGTTTATAGGTCCACGTTCAACTACTGGGCTGCAAAGGCCAGGCAAGAAATAGTCAATTGGAGCAGGAGAGGGCACAGAAGCCAAGCCAGATTTTTTTTTATTTTTTTATTTTTTTAAAATATATTTTATTGATTTTTTTCTTACAGAGAGGAAGGGAGAGAGATAGAGAGCTAGAAACGTCGATGAGAGAGAAACATCGACCAGCTGCCTCTTGCACACCCCCCACCGGGGATGGGCCTGAAACCAATGTACATGCCCCTGACCGGAATCGAACCTGGGACCTTTCAGTCCACTGAGCCAAACCGGTTTCAGCTCAAGCCAGATTTAAAAGGCTCAGCACGTCAGGTGGAGAGTTTGGTCTCAATGCAGTGGAATCCTGGAAGCCGTGATAGGATTCTCTTTCTAAACATACAAATACCTGCAGTCCTCTAACCAGACCCCATAACCAAGATTTAGAACATTTTTATCAACCCCCTCCCCCCAAATTCCCTCATGGCCTTTTTCATTCCGTTTTTCTCTTTGCCAACCTGGTACCCACTGATCTGTATTCTATCCCTATAGTTTTTTCTTTTCCAGAATCCCATATAAATGGAAACAAAGCCTTTTGAGTCTGGCTTTTTTCACTTAGCATAATGCATTTGAGAGCTGTCTATGTTATTATTCATATCAGTAGTTTTTTTTCCTTTTTGTTGCTGTGTACTATTCCATCATGTGGATGTACCACAGCTTGTTTATTCGTTCACCATTGCCAAATTGTCTTCCAAATGGCTGTTCCATTCTGCATTTCCAAAGCAGTGCAGGAGAATCTCAGTTGTTCTTCATCCTCACTAACATTTGGCATTGTCGGATTTGTGTGTGGTGTGTGTGTGTGTGTGTGTGTGTGTGTGTGTGGTGTGTGGGTGTGTGTGTTTTCATTTTAGCTAATTTAACAAATGTGTAGAAGTATATCATTGTAGTTTTAATTTGTATTTTTATAATGACTAATGATGTTGGGCATTTTCTAATGTTCTTATTTGCCATATGAATGTGTTTGGTTAAAAGTCTGCTATAATCTTTTGTCCATTAAAATATTAGATTGTATTTGAACTATTTAATTTTAAGAGTTCTTTATACAGTCTAGATTTAAATATTTTCTCCCACTCTGTGGCTTGTCATCTCATTTTCTTTTTTATTTTTATTTACTTTTAAAAAAATTATTTTCTTAATAGTATTTTAATTTTTAAAAATATATATATATATTTTGTTGATTTTTTACAGAGAGGAAGGGAGAGGGACAGAGAGCTAGAAACAACAATGAGAGAGAAACATTGACCAGCTGCCTCCTGCACGCCCCCTACTGGGGATGTGCCGGCAACCAATGTACATGCCCTTGACCAGAATCGAACCAGGAACTTTCCAGTCCGCAGACCGATGCTCTATCCACTGAGCCAAACCGGTTTCGGCGTATTTTAAATTTTTATGAAGTACATGATCGGATGTTTTTTCATGGATTGTGCTTTTTGATGCTGTAATTAAGAAATATTCACTTAACCCCAAATCACAAGGTTTAAAAAAAAGTTTTCTTTTAGAAGTGTTATAGTTTTAGAATTTATAATTAGGCCTACAATTCATTTTGGGTTAAATTTTGTATGTGATACAAGGTAGGGATCAAGATTAATTTTTTTGCATATGGGTTTTTCCAGCACCATTTGTTTAAAAGACTACCTTGCTTCCATTGAGTTGCTTTTGCACCTTTGACAAAATTCAACTGGCCTATAGGTATGGGTATACTTGAGGATCTCTATTCTTTTGCTAGTATCACACTATTTTGACTATTAGCTTTATATTAAAGTTAAATAGTTCTGGAATCACACATTGTGAGTTCTTCAGCTTTGTTCTTTTTTAAAGTTCTCTTGGCTATTGGTTCCTTTGATTTTCCACATAATTCTTATTTTTATGTATTTTTTATTGATTTCAGAGAGTTTTAAAAAAATACGTATTTTTTATTGATTTCAGAGAGGAAGGGAGAGAAGGAGATAGAAGCATCAATGATGAGAGAGAATCACTGACTGGCTGCCTCCTGCATGCCCCCCACTGGGGATCCAGCCATGACCGGCAACCCAGCATATGTCCTGGCTGGGAATTGAACCATGAGCTCCTGGTTCATAGGTTGATGTTCAACCACTGAGCCACACCAGCTAGGCGGCCACATAATTTTTAGAATCTGCTTGTCAATTCCTACAAAAATGTTTGCTGATATTTTTATTTGGATTGTGTTGAACCTGCTTTTGAATTCATGAACATGGTGTACCTCCCCATTTATTTACGTCTTCTTTGACTTCTTTCATTAGTGTTTTTCAGTTTTCTATGTATAGATCTTGCATATACTATGCTAGATTTTTTTTCTGTTTCCTGTTTTTGTGCTTTTATAACTTTTTTTTTACTGTAAAATAAGTATATATTTTAAAGAAATTAAAGATTGAATCAATGTGGCATTCTAGAACTCAAAATACCACAGTTTAACAGGAGATGAATGGTGAAATTCTACAATAATTATTGTTGATATTTTCATTGCAGTTCCATCAGATTAGTTACATCTTTATTCTGTTGATATTCTTATTCAAATTTGTGCTGTTTTCTGTATTTGTGTTCTTCAACATCTTTCAATAATCCTATCTAAAAGAGTAGTATGCAAATTGACTGTCACTCCAACACACAAGATGGCTGCCCCCATGTGGTCAAAGATGGCCACCACAAGATGATCGGCAGTGGAGGGCAGTTGTGGGTGATCAGGCCAACAGGGGAGGCCGGTTGGGACAGACCAGGGCTGCAAGGGAGGGCAGTTGGGAGGGACCCAAGCCTGCAGGGGAGGGCAGTTGGGGGCAACCAGGCCAGCAGGAGAGGGCAATTGGGGTCAACCAGGCCAGCAGGAGAGCAGTTAGGCATTGATCAGGCTGGCAGAGGAGTGGTTAGGGGGTGATTAGGCTGGCAGGCAGAAGCAGTTAGGGGCAATCAGGCGGGCAGGCAGGCAGGCAGGCGAGTGGTTGGGAGCCAGCAGTCCTGGATTGTGAGAGGGATGTCCGACTGCTCGTTTAGGCCTGATCCTGGGCCTAAATGAGCAGTCGGACATCCTCAAGGGGTCCCAGATTGGAGAGGGTGCAGGCTGGTCTGAGGGACACTCCTCCCCTGTGCATGTATTTCATGCACTGGGCCTCTGCTTTTATACGTAATAGGCTTGCATCTTTTGTTAAATATTTTTCTAGCTACTTTATAATGCTTTTTTTTTTTTTTACAAAGTTTTACTTTCTATTAGCTAGATACAATTTTTAATCTTTTAAAATATTTTTTATTAATTTTTAGAGAGGAAGGGAGAAGAAGAGAGAGAGAGAAACATCAATGATGATAGAGAATCATTGATTAGCTGTCTCCGGCATGCCCCCTACTGGAAATTGAGCCCAAAAACCAGGCATATGCCCTTGACTGTACTTGAACCTGGGACCTTCAGTCCATAGGCAGATGCTCTATCCACTGAGCCAAACCAGTGAGGGCGCAATTGTCAGTCTTAAATGAGATTAAATTTTTACTTTTGCATCTAACAACCTTACAGAATTTTCTTTCCCCACCCCCTTTTAAAATTAAATTTATTTGCCTGACATTGGTTAATATGATCATACTAGAGGCTTGGTGCACAAGATTTGTGCATGGGAGGGGGTGTGTACCTCAGCCCAGCCTGCACCCTCTCCAATCTGGGACCTCTCGAGGGATGTCCGACTGCCCATTTAGGCCTGATTCTAGTGAGATTGGGCCTAAGTGGGAAGTTGGACGTCCCTCTCACAATCCAAAACAGCTGGCTCCCAACTGCTCACCTGCCTGCCAGCCTGATCACCTCCAACCACTCCTCTGCCAGCCTGATAGAGGACTAACTGCTCCCCTGCCAGCCCAATTACCCCTAACTGCCCTTCCCTGCTGGCCTGGGTGCCCTAACTGTCCTTCCCTGCAGGCCTGGTCCCCCTCCCCCCAAAACTGCCCTCCCCTGCAGGCCTTGTCCCTTCCAATTTCCCTCCTCTGCAGGCCTGGTCCCTCCCAACTGTCCTTCCCTGTAGGCCTGGTTGCTCCCAAGCCCTCCCTTGCAGGCCTGGTTGCCCCTAACTGCCCTCCCCTGCAGACTTGATCATCTGCAACTGCACTCCCCTGCCAGCCATCTTGTGTCCACATGGGGGTGGCCATCTTTGACCACATGGGGGTGGCCATTTGTGTGTTGTAATAATGGTCAATTTGCATATTACGTTTTCATTATATAGGACAGGTTTCAGGTGTGGGTTTTCATGTTACCAGATTTGTGTATTGTACTGTGTGCCTGCCACCCAAAGTCAAG